AATTTTTCCCTTATATGAGATGTCAGACATTGAAAGTTAAATTCTTTAATATTGATTTGCTAGATTTCAAATTGAGCAAGAATGTTGAGAAGGGATTGACAAAGCATACAACAGAATATTAGACCAGCAGTTCATTTCATTAAGGTCAAAAAATTTGAAAATCTTTATCTAAAATAGCAATTTTTCCCTTATATAAAACGTCAGATTTTGAAAGGTAAATTCTTTAATATTTTATTCTGAACTTGAAATTCAGTAACAATGTTCCGACGGGATTGGCAAAGGATACAACAGAATATTAGACCAGCAGTTCATTTTATTCAGTTCAAAAAATTTGAAAACTATGGTCTAAAATAGCAATTTTTCCCTTATATGAGATGTCAGATTTTTAAAGATAAATTCTGTAATATTGATTAGCCATTAATGGCGCGCGCTTGGAATGGGGAATTAATTGATGTGCACGCGCTGAAGAACGTGCATGATCAAAAGTTTTACGTATAAAAACTTTTATTTTTAAATAATTAGCTACTCTTATATTTTTCTTTCTCTGTTTAATTCTGTTGTGTAATTTAGGAGTGTTACTACAAGACGAGTCTCAAATTAATCCACTCGTTCTCAAGACTATTTAGTTTAAAAACAGTTTTACCTTTGCAAAGCTATTCGATTTCTATATATAAAAGTTACAAAAAAGGATCACCGCTTATTGCTCCATTGTTACTACAAAAGGAAATCTAAACTAACTTAACTTATCTATGCATGCAGGATAGCTCTATCAGCTTTAAACATTTCTTCCCAACTTAAGGCCGGAAAGGATCATCTCTTATTAATCCAGTGATACTACATGAAGAAACCTAAACTAAACTAAGTTTGTTTATACTGGATATATAGCTCTATCGGTTTTAAACTGTTCTTAATATAAATGCGAAAGGTTCATATTATTAACTTGCATTTAAGGTTCTATAAGTTGATATATAGTACGCAGTAATGACCTACCTCTGTACTGGCATTGTGGGCCAGTGAATTCCTCCAGGCAAACGCATTCAGCAGCGTCTCCTGCCTCGCGTAGGGAAACAGCCATGGTTCGTGGAGGACAGAAACGTAATGCAAAACCTTCTTGCGAAAACAGGATCATCAATAATCCAAAAATTGCTACCAAAAATGTCATAATATCGCCTTGCTTCATTGCGCTATGTCAAACTCGAAAGAAGCAAAATAAATTTACGCTATAATTGAAAGATTGTGACGTTCATAATTGCTTGCGTCGGAGCGTGGCGTTGGAACGAGAACAATCAAAGAAAATTGTTCCCAGTTTCCCAGTGCCTCTCGTTTTTTACTCAGACACAAAAAAAGGCACAGAACTGAATCTGCCCACAAAGGACCAGTTATAGTTTTACAAAAGCTATTTTCTCTTTTTTGCCGCTTGCTACCTTTTCCTGTTGGACTATAGTAACGTGAAGTTTAAACTTTCAAATGGCGCAAGTTGTTCAAAATTGTTTGCTTATTAATGCTGCATGATAACTGGTTTTTGCCTTATAATTTTAGCGGCGAATTTAGCGAGTTCTAAACAGTATGGCTGTGTGCTAAGCTAAAGAGCATGTTCCTCGTAAATATTTGATGCTTCGTTTTCTATTTTGAGAAATTTTAGGGACTTTTTTCACCAAACCGCGAGAGAGCTGTAAGCAATGGGCTTCGGTCCCACCGTACGTTTTGTACGGTATCTCCATGGAAGATCTTTTGACCATTGTTTTATACAAAAACAATTACAATAGAATACCACACGCATCTTTCCGAGAAAATAAAATCATATTTTATTAACATCGAAAATGGGCTTTTTGTAAGCACTGTTCGGCTGGGCAGAAAGCCACAGGGCAAATTTTAGGGACTTTTCTCACCAAACCGCGAGAATTGTAAGGAAAGGGCTCCAGTACCACCGTGCGTTTTGTACATCTCCATGGAAGGTCTTTTCCCCATTGCTTTTTATAGAAAAAGAATAACAATAGAATACCACATGTATCTTTCCGAGAAAATAAAATAATATTTTATTAACACCGAAAACGGGCTTTTTGCAAGCACTGTTCGGCTGGGAGAAAGGCCGCCCGCAAAAAATACAAAATACCCAACTTTGTTAATTAAATCTAGTTTATTACAAATAGCATGCAATGACACCATACAATTTTACACATTTTCACCTTTAATACTATTATTTTCTTAAATTTTAATCGAGAGCAATAAACTATGGCAAACACAAGTCACTTGCGGGTAACACGTCATTGTAACAAATTGCGTAGTAAACTTGTATCATACAACAGAAGATGCGTATACACGAACTGCTTCTCGAGCCCAAACACGCTTGAAACATCGCATGCAGCAATCAAATCCATGTTTTACTTTCGTCTTGAAATTCAGATTTCGTTCTTGCGATGTTTCGTTACTGGTAGAGCTTCAGTTTGGGCCCACGGTGGAGTAACCATCATTGGTCGTCCAAAGATCCGTTGTGACGTACCTTAGAGGAAGTCAGTTGATCAAGTCGGTTGAGACATTTTAACCACGCACTCCACAGGTGCTTCCAATCCACACGGAAGTCCATCTTAATTTCGGTAGGAAAGTAGAATTTGACTGCAAATGGGTGATGATATCGGGCCTCAGGATTCCGAATTCTTTCGCTTTGTATACTTGTACGAAAGTCATATCTACTCGAATGTACGGATTTGTATTCTTGTGTCCCCGCACATAATGCCATCTCTGCTATCGATGCGGCCAAACATGAGCCATGAACGTCTTGTAGAAGTCTTGTAGAAATCTAACATGCAAACATATAAAAAACTGAAAATTGTATCTTCAAAAGCTGCTTTATTCCTTGGCCTCTTCTGTGCCAGTTTCTTTCGCTTCAAGGACTGTCGTCTCTGTTTCGTCTGAAGCTTGTTCGATCTAAAAAGAAAAAGAGTACGCACTTTTGAGCCGGAATTATTGACGTTTTCTCTCAGTATGACATTTCGCATTTTACCAGCATATATTTTCCGTATTTTACATCATTTTAGTACTTTCAGTTTGTTCTTGAAAGTATTCCGACCCGGAAATTGTCCATTGTTTTGTCTCTAAAAGATCTCCAGCTCGCGATTTTCAAATTAATTATTTTAGAATTCGGCACTTCAAAGGGAACAACAACGCTATATCTTCCCATTTCTTCCTCTACTCGTATGGTCATATTTTTGTGGAATACGAGCAACACTTACCTCGTTATCTTTCTCAATGTCAATAACGACGTCAGTTGGCACGTCAGCATTTTGTTTTCTGCGGATGCGCAGCTTCTTTGCGCATTTAGCGCAGCTTCTAAAAAGCCACAAATGAAAAGCAATGAAACATTGTGAAATTCTGTTACACTGAACACAGCTCTCGAAAGAAACATCAAAATACCAAGCTCATCTTTAAATCATATAAGTTATAGTGCATAGGATGATTAAATCTTGAAACTTTAAAGTTAAACCATTCAAAGGACGTGTATAGGGCTGTTACAATATGTCCAAAAGTTTATTGCACTGATGAATTTCAGGGTTAATGGCCCGAAAGCGGCGCATATAATAAATACATGCACGTACATGGTGTTTCTACAAATTGATGATCTATGTTTTTGTTCACCAGATTGGTTAAAGTTTATTTATCGAATCAAATTGTATAACCCTATTGACTTTTTGAATACAGCCGCTTTTGCTGAAGAACAACATGTATACAAGTAATCTGAATAATCCTTACCCCATGATACAATAGCAGATAGTCTGGATTAGAAGCACCGCGATGCATCCACCAACCATGCCAATACTGACACCACGTAACCTTGAAATTCTTCATTTGTGCCAACACGTTTTTGAACTTCACTGTCTCTCCTGGAACGACATAAAGAATAACGCAAATGATCTTCAGAAATACATAGAAATACTGCACGGAGTCTATAAAGAAGTTGTGTGTTGGAAAGTTAGGTTGACCTCTAGTACGAACACCGATAACTCTTTACTAAAAAAGACTCTGGTATTGACACGTGCATGGTATTAAATGCAAACGCCTCTGAGTTTCAAGATGCATCATGATACGTCTAATGCTTCATCCGCTTCCACATATGATAACTCCGAATTATAATGACCCCTCTCAGAAGCACATTTATAGAGTGATCTAACATATCCAGGTTTTCTTAGTAAAGAATCATGACAGGTTGCCTGTATTCAAGATATATTTTATGTTTTTTATTGTGTTCAAACCTTTATCGGCGGTTTCTTGTGCATCTAAAAACATATATACAGCTGTTCTGGTTTCACCATCGGGGTTCATTGGCATCATTCGAACTTCATATGATGCGTCAGATGGTAAGTTTATGAATGCCATTGTGCTTGGGGCACCATCTTGAGCTGTCTTAATCTTCACTACGGAGTGTAAGAACACTCGTCTCCATTTTCCGTAGGAAATTTTGTCTTTGTAAACAACTGGTCGGACCGAGATTTCGGCCCATTCCTTTTTGCCCTGGTGCTGGATTCTTACGAGAGCCCATTGCTTGGTTATCCAAGAAATGTTAAAAATCTTGGAACCATTTTCAGCTACAAAAATGAAAAATTGTGGTTCACAAACAATTATACATAAGTCTTTAATAATTATTGCCTATTTAAATTGGTCGTCTATAGGATGCATTAATTTCAGCAATACTCATTTAAGTGCCTATGTCATGATTGGGGAAATAGACTTTTTAGATAGTTTTTTGCAATATATTTGATAGGTCGAAAATTTCATCTTCATTGACTTTGAGGACCTCAAAGTTGGTGATTTTGAATAAAACCGTGACCCTAAAAGGACTAGGGCGAGAACGCTTGTGAGACGGGTTGTGACGTCATTTCGAGAACTCGCATTTCTTGCAAAGTTATAAAAGACTATATTTTACATATTGCAAGAGCGAAGATAGACTTTGAGTTGTATCTTTCCAACTTTCCTGCCGCGTTTTGCTTAATTTGGCGGATACGACAATGTCGTCGAGCTTTACTGATCCGATCGATAGCCAAAGTGAATCAGAAAATAATTTTATTACGAGCTACATGATGGAAGTTGAAGATGACGCTCCTTTGGCTACCGAAGCACAAGGCGATCAAGAATTAATGCAACCATACCAAGACGAACCAATTGCTGACACTGAATGGGTAGAAAACTATTACGAAGAAAGGCGCAATCAAGACGATAGGCTTCGAGTACTTAGAGGCCGGCTCGAAGGACGTGTATCTGTTGAAGGCTGGTGAGTAAAACTACCTACACTGTTTAAACTCACGTGTTCAGTATTAGGTTATTTTATTACATTTTTCCTTCCGCAGGTGTGGATGTGGGAATTGTAAAACCGACTTGTTGCAAAACGAAAAAGAGAGTAAATGTTGCCAAGAAGTAGAAGGCTGTGGCGAGGCACTCAGCAGTGATATTATCATGCAAGAAATGAGTGCGGTCCCTAAATGCATCACACTTCATCCTGGCTTTAGCGATGTGTGTTTATCTATTTGGTCATTGCGCTTAGCTGGGCCAAAGTTTAGAAGAATCGACAGACAAAAGTATAAAATGGGTAGCGACGAAAACAGGTAAAGATCCGAATGGAGTTGTAATATATGTCTTCTTGTAGTACCAATAGTCAATGTTGTGTTTATATAAACAGTGCAATGCTTCTACAGGAACCCATCAACTTTAGCACTAAACAATCAAACTTGAAATGCATTACAATATGGATTTCTGTTTACATATCCTAGTCTGCTAGGCTACAGTAAATGTGCACATGCAGCATTGCTCCATACCTAATACCTTGATCCCTGGCTAACAATGCACTGATTACATGGGTATAATAGAAAACTCAGTATTCTCAAATAAGTAAACAACATATTTTTTTGTTTCACTCTGCAGATATCTTCGAAGTGTTGCATACAGACAATATATACAACTTGTTTATGGCTACTTAGGAAAAAGACGAATACCACTGCCTGCATGTGCCTATCATGTAATACGCAGCAAATTCAGTGGAAAGGAATACCAGGGATTTGATGATGATGATGATGATGATGATGATGATGATGATGAGATGATGATGATGATGATGATGATGACGAAAACGCATCTTAATTAATGTAGATACTTTGGGTATAATATTTGACCTAACTATATAATTCTTCTTTCACAGCCTTGTTAGTTTAAAAGTCTTGTAAGAAAAGGTTTTAAAATATTGGATTAAAATTTTATACAAACACATGCTTATTATAGGCTTATTTAACATCACCGGGGATGGATGACTTGTAATACTAGTTGTAATAGTGACTTGTAATAGTGGCTTCCATAATAATATTTCCCCTCATCCTGCCAGTGCTTTCCATCTTGTCTTTTTTGGGAAAGCTTTTGTAATTGAGAACAAAGTTCTTGAGTATGAGGCATTTTAATATCACTAAGGAACCAATTAAATATTTACAAATATACATATATACATCCTGTCATTACTTCTGGTTTCGAGGACAGTTGGAAACCTTTTTATGGCCTTTCATGGGTTGGCCACATGTTCTACAGCATGGTTTTGCTCGATTCTCGCAAGGAGCTACCGGTTGTACCTGCACAGTAGAAGGCTCTAAAAAATAAATAAAATTAATATACTTAACTATTATACATACCCATACAATTTATGTTGCATTGTATTTCCCACTGTCACTCTATATTTTTATTCCTTGAAAAGAGTACACATACTGCAAATGTGGAATACCTGCAGTGGGTCTGACATTGACAACAACCATTTCTTGACGATCAAGCATCTTCTTTATGGCTTCATTTCTTGGTTGCTTTTGCAGCATAGAATTCATGGGATCTGGTGTCATATCTACCAACTCCTTGTATGCCTCATCCACCTGATCACTTTCGGCACTTAGCATTGTCTTGTACAAGTCTTCAACATATTCTAATAAATGTAAAGAATGACATTATTTTTTTATTTCACCCTGTACAGTGAAATGAAGGTTAAACAACACATATATTCAACCTGGTAATTCTGCCCCAGGCCCTATACTATGTATCATTAGACATGGCAACCAAATTACATGTATGAAAATTATTTTACCAAAGTTCTGTTAGACACGAACTTTTCGAACAGTGGCTTCTCCATTTTTAGTGCAAAGTTTGAGAAACTTTGCAGTATTGTGATGAGTGGCGAAAATTCAAACGAGTCAGTAAGTCAGTCAGACAGTCAGTCAGTCAGTCAGTCAGTCATAGTGTAAACTTTACGGGGGGTAGGTTGATTTATGCGTATAGTAACTTTTTGTGTATGATCAGTAATTTAAGGTTTATAAATCAGTTTAACATGCTTTATTTATTAATGCACTATACCCGTTCTGCAAAGTTCACCAAAATATTGAGGGATTTTGGCGGTTACTGTAAATTTTGAAGCATTGCTTTTCCGCGGTTTGGGTTTTGTTTTAAAGGGATTTGCAAAAATTACCCCCCGGAACACCCGATTCTTTCTTACACGTCGCAACTGCGCATGTGCCGTCGAGACTTGAACATTATTCACGATGTAAAGAAACGAGGAGCGACGAGCATTGCTTCAAAACATTCCGGGCGTAAAAATCGAGCAAATCTTTGAGAATCTACGCACTTTATCAACTTATGTTATGAATTACGAGCATTCAATTCAACACAAATATAATTTGGAAGGTTTATTCCATAAATAGAGCTAAGAGGTTAGGAAGAAACGACGCTGTGTTGTTTAATATGTATTGATAGACTCTTACACGAATGTATATTATGTCGATAGCAAGTCGATACCTGATATTCTGCATACAGTACATAAATGATACTATACAAAACGGACATTTTGTGCAGTAATCAAATCATTTTGGAGGTATACAGTATTGATTATAAGTATATTGTTTTGTATCGATTTTACGCGTCGAAGTATCCACATCATATACATAATATGCACCGCGGTTTATTTACATTATTTACAACGCAACTATTTTGGCTATTCTTATGAAATGACGGATAAATTGGTGCCGTCATATAAATGTAGTGAATGTAGTCACAGTTGTTTGACGAAGAAAAGAGACTACACTGAGAAAATCGCGCCCGGTTTGGCCGGTTTACATGGGCAACTAAAATTAGCTATAATTTAATAGTGACAGTATCCGCGGCTAACGTCATTTGAGTACTTTGAGTAATTTCCTTTTGATTAATGTTTAACCTAGTTCGTTATATTTTTACAGGCATAAGTCAAAATGTTTATGTTGGGACAAACGTCTGGTTGCTTAGGTATTACAGGGCATGAAAACTTTGCACTATTCTTGGATCCCTAGTTATGATTATATCTATTGCGGAGGTGGCAGTTCCATATTTTAATATTATGAACAATCTTCCCGAAACACATACAATGCCAAACTTATTGTATGGATTTGTTTAAAGAAATAACTTAACTTGTGATATGAAAAATATAAGGTATAAATATAGAAGAATACAATTTGTATAATAATAGATGAAAACCCTCCTTCTAATGAGTTTTGGTCAAGATCATATTACACAAATAATGAATTTTTGCTATCTTCCCAAAGCAGATCCAGACCCTAGAGGGGATTAATAGGTGACCGATCAGGGATAATGGGAAAAAGTCAAACGCACCTTTTGACAACATATTTTAATTTTAGTGCTTTCAATCTTTTGCATTTTATTCACTAGTTTTTTAATTTGCTATCTTTTATATATAATAGAGCTATTAGTATGTAGTAAGATATTTTTACTTAGGACCTTGGAGGAAAATATGTTTTGCAGAGCCTTGACCTCTTAAGAATTTTTGGTTTTGGCTGTGCATACAAATACACATTACAAATAAACCAAAAAATTAATACATGGGCATTTCTTTTTTTACACTGTTTTTATCTATTTGGAATTTTCAGTTTTAAAAAATGTGCACAAACTTCAAATAATGATTTCTGACCAGTGAGCTTTTTGTATTACTGCATTTAGTCAAGTTCATGTAAATGTCCTGACAGTCAAAGGTCATTAATGCCTGGAAAAAATTATAATCACTATAATACATGGTTCTGATTCCTAAAACACTATTAGTTCATTATTAAATTGAATTCTGTTAATAAAAGCAGATGATTTGCTACTCAATTATATATTACCTCTATACCTTCATTTTTTTAAAGCCACTCCTTGCTCCAGCTACCAATAAGAAATTGTCAAAACATCCAACATTACTACCTGGTGAGAAGATTTTGCTGCAGCAAGATGCAATATGTGTTGAAACATATCTCTCTCCTGTGGAAGGAACGTTGCATCTTACAACATTTAGAGTTATATTCAGTGGTTCATCACCGGTATGTTTACTTTGCTCAAACCTGAATTTGTCTTTGGCCTAATTTTTTAAACAGTTTAACCAATAATACTTATTCCTGGTCTTGTGCCATTTAAATTCTGTAAAATCGAGTTTTTAAATGTTCTTAATTTTCAAAAATTAAATTTAAAAAAACAGCCTTTTGCAAAGCAGCCTTTTGTAATAATTTTGTACATTGTTGACTTAAAATATAGCGGATTTAGTAACATATGAATACAAATTTTTCCTTACCAACTATGATAAGTACTACCGAATACCAAATGGAATACAAGCTGATGCATAAAAAATGTTTAGTTGTCCCCAATGAATATTGTATAGGAAGCCAATAATTGTCAAAGTTCTACTCATTTTATCAAGTGTGGTATACTAGAACACATATTGGGTCCAAGCTTGTTGTAAGCATTCCAGTTTTCTGTTGCAATTTTGCAATGGTCATGGAACCGGTAATACCATTTTCCTTCAGGATGTAGAAGACGAGGCCATTGGTGGTGACCACCATACATCCCTTGTATCCAAGAAAAATAGCAGTCAGTTTGGGAAAAAGAAAGGGTTTTCAGATACACTTGAGAGGTTTAGAGAAAAAGCACAGCATTTCCAAAAGAACTTGCAACATTCAAAATCATGGTAAAGTAACAGTCATGCAAAAGATAGTTTTTTTATAAAGTGCATGGGGTAATCATCACCTGTCTTAAACTTGCTCTATAATGAGCCAGTGATGCCCTTAACTCATAATGTGCCCCTGGTCTAAACATTATACGGCTGATTCATATTCGTCGAGTAGCAAATTGTTTGGAGCGGATCGCCCACCAGTTTTCACAAGACCGAGTAATATATATAAGACAAAGATATATAAATCATTCTCTGGGTTATTCTTCGTAAATTAAGGCCAAGGTTTTTTCTTCTATTTTCAGTCGCACGTTAAGATCGACTTACAAGGGAAAGTCACAATTTACATTGAACAGATCACATGAAAATAACGTCGTTCAAACTTCCTGTGGAGAAAATTTAGACGACAATTGTAAGTTGATTTCTCTACAGCCCGTAGACACACCGGAATCCGATGAAACAGAGAAAGGTAAACAGATGCTGCACGCATACAACCTTATATCTCATCTACTTATTTTTTCATTCGGACTATTTCATATCGGGTAAGGTGGCTTGTTCACGACAATTCGATATGATCATTTTGGCCGCTTTAAAGAAAGTGTACTAAATAATAACCAATCCTAACCATTCAACTCTATCTTATTTCTCCGCCCTATAGATTTAGTCAAGAGTATTTGTAAGTGCTCTGCGAGATTTATTTTCGGACTTAGTTAATTCAAATGTGCGGTACAGACGATTCGAACTTAAACGCTTGGATATCAAGCAAGCTGTTTCAGCTGGAAATCTAAAGGTTATATAAAAAACCTATATATTCTGAACAAGTCCATCAAAGTCCGTTATTAAATAGTTTTGGAAAACTCTGGTACCAGTGGACGTGATGTCGATTCCAGAATCGTTGACCTAAAAAACATTCTGACACTCACATGTACTGGTCTTACAATTTCGAAAGAAACTATGTGGTATAAAGCCCGTTTTCCAATAGGCAATTTATTCGTGCAGATTGATAAAAAGTAGAAAGCGATTCTTCTTTTTCGCGGCAAATTTTTTCGCAAACTAATCACCGCACCGCATTTCAGATATCGCATCGCGCAAATAAATTCGCCTGGTGGAAAACAGGCTTAAGGCCCACACACACTGGGCGCAACGCAACGCGAATTTTTGGGGTTTTTTTAAGCAAAATAATTCAATTCTGGAGGGAAATTTTGAGAGCTATGGGCCCCAGACATGTCAAAGTATGCTATCCTTCAGTAATTATCAAGAATATCATAACATGATCAAACTTGCTTTTGCTGTTTTTTGTTGCTTTTGAAACCTCAGAAATTCGTAAAAATCGCGTAGCGTTGGCGGACCGTGTCAGTGAATAGGGACCTTAAGCATGTAGGACGGTAACACGACGACGGCAGCTATCAATACAATGCTTCATTGAAAAGAAATGAATTATTAATTAGCTATGGGAGTTTTAGGCGCGTGATCTACGTTCTGTTTACAACGGCAAAACGTCGTTTATTACGTCCTATGTAGAACGTCTGCATTTCAGGACCCAGTGAGCGCCACCTCGAATTAGCTCTATAGAATTGTCCCTAAAAACGTAAACACAATGTTTTCAACGTCTTAAATCTCATTAAACTGGTACACTAATATACAACAACGCTTTATCATAACATTAATTCAAAGGAGTATTCCAACCACGTCGTCGTCGTGTTGCCGTCCTACATGCTTAAGGTCCCTAATATCGGCCTAAAACGTTTGCATATGTACGCGTGATTTTCATTTATACTTTCACAGATCTTGTTCAACATGACATCATCGTATCTATTCCATGTACAAATGTTTACGATATTCACAAACTACCTAAGAACTCACTCGTGAAGGACCCGAGATTTTTTGGGTTTGGTGATGGCATTGAGCTCATGTGCAGTACTCTGCAGGTTTATAAGGTAAAGTGATTACCTTCTCTGGCGCTTTGCCTCTATATGAAAAAGCGTAGATGGCACCTTCTCTTTCACAGAATATGTATAATCAGAAGTATTACTAGGGATAGTTTTTCCAAAATGAACGCGTCATGCACACGCCATCACACTTGCCGCACGGATGGCTTCCTGGATTTCTTACCATTTCTGTTGTGTTTGGTAATATTTAATAGAGTACTGAACTTAACAATAAAACCTGACAACACAATCAATTTGAACAATATCATATTTCACTTGTCTCTTAATCAAATTGTTACCTACTATACGGGCAATTACGATGCCTCTAATGATTTATGTCCTATATATAGTCGTATATAAATAGACATATTATAGTTTTAAAAGTTCTCAAGGTGAACTTATATGATATAGATAACAGACTATAGCAGAGCACGCCCTGATAGGTAGAGTGAATCTGACCTCTTCATTGAGATGACCTAGGTACTGCTACAGGCTACAGAGAGGTCCATATCAATTTCTAACGGTGAATTTTGATAATCCTTTCATCTTATATAGTTTTGTCTTCCACAAGGTTCTGATTACAATGCGGATAAACTCGCCGCAATATTTTCAAAGTATACAAAACACCTGGTAAGTTTTTTTTTATCAATCATTTAATAAGGTTTGCTAAGGGCGATAATATTCGCGTACAAATGCACGAGCAAACAAAACTTGGCAAGGAAAATTTGTCAAGGAAAATTCGTCCGTCTCTACGGGGCTTTATACTAGATTGCATGTAGACTATTTTTTGCTAAATTATATTACTGCACAGTTATCCGGTTGATTAACGAACCGAAATTTCTATTCTTATACATTTAAGCAGCAATGCAACTTAATTCAGCACGGGTTTTTTTCTTTTACTTTTTTGCTCTGATTAATTATGCTTTCTGCATGATCGAAACTATAGATGTGATACTGTAATTGGGGGGGGATACATATTCGTATATCCTTTTGTCTGACAGATCTCTTTTGTATATGTATGCGCGTTTTCAAAAGAAATCCGTTGGGCAGAACATCATATAAAAAAATTATCACCACCCCTTCCCCGAATTATCGCCCTAGTTTCGACCCTGCATGCTTTATTTATTTAGTATAGTGTAGTTTTCCGACAACACTCACAACTGCATGCTGAAGTTTGATTACCATTTTTGATACAGCCAGTTTTATGTACATGTACTGACGTAGGAAATAAAATCGGTAAAGAAACGTTCTTTATAATTGTCGAAAATTTCCTGACAAGGAAAAAAAAAAGCGTTTTCCTTAATCTCGTGCTAAAACCTTTACTCGCTACGAACCGTTAAACAACCATTAAAATGTGAGCTAGGCTTCAGTTTTGATATTCTGAATATAAAATATATAAACTTTGTACATGTAGGCTCAAGACATAAAATTGAAATACAGTACTGATCAGTACTGAGTATTCAAACACCTCTTTTTGGCCCTCACAAAAAAGCATGACTATTTTTAGATTCTAGAGCGTCATATTATGCACTCCCTAGCAGTTTTAGGAATTAATTGGTCACTCGCAAGCAGATTTATGACCAAAGATGTGGCATTTACCACTTCTTTTTTTAAAATTCAATTAAAATTCAATTCATGACTGTATTAATTTGATTGCTAGAACTTTTTCACTTTTCCCGAATAATCAGGCCTTTTAGTGCAAAGAACAGTTTTTAAGTGCATAAATTTTTAAATGAGTATAAAACATTAAATATTCAAAACCTGACAACGTGGGTCTTTTAGTGTTGTAAATTACCACGTGCAGATATTGACTGAGATTAAGAGAACCTATTCCAAATACTTGTAGACAAGGCATACTTAAAAAGTGTTGGACATAAATTTTTAAAATGCTTAAATGTTTTGTTATTTTTTTGACCGGCCATAATTTGATCGACAATGAAAACTATACACATCTTACTGGCCCTATTCGATCTTTATTCAAAAATACAAACACTTTACTATTCATTCTTCCTAAAACATCGATATTCTCACAAATATATCCTCCCAATTAAACAATAAACTTAAAAAGGTAGTAAATGGCACTTGTTAGGTTAAAAATGTACTTCCGGTTTAAAATAGTAAGTTAAAATAACTGCTGAACAGTGCGAAAAATCTCGCTCTGGAACATGTAATATTTTATACAAATTGCTTTTGTTTTAAAGTAGATATGAGGATTTTCATGAGGGCTGTAAAAACAGTGTTTGAATACTTTTAATCAGTAATGTAGCTATGTCGTATGAATTTTTTTCCTGTCGAACAATTTTATGTATACTCGTGCAACTTTAGGGTTTTGAAAAACTCACTCGTGAGTAGTGCATGGCCTGAAAGTTTTATCAGGAACAACAATCGTATACTTGTAATATACATGTAGTATTATGTAGTATTTGAATTTAATCGCAGGGATTACCTTCCTAATATCCGCACTATAACCACGATCGCACTTGTCAGCTACCTTTGTAGCTCAATAGGAAGAGCATTGCATGCACCGGTGTCACGATCTCAGTCCTCCCCGGTTCTGAGTACTCTCCTTGTAACAAGTGCGCATGTGCAGCCTGGGAGGATAACTGAGCACGTAGCACGGCGGGCTCAGTTCTCCCCCAATCTTAACGATCCCTCAAAAAACTGGATAAATATTAAAGCAAAGAAAACTGTTTGGGTAACAGGTAGCGTTGTTAAAATGTGTCACGCAAGGATTTCTTGTAATTGTGGGTAATTTTCTGTTGTATAAGATGAAATGAGCACAAATTTTCCTTATTTTAACCGTTTTTTGTGACTTGTGACTCCGCAGGAAGCCTAGCATGTTTGTTGATGATTAATCATTCAATTTTCAATCGTCTGTCTCATTCATCCCCTTCATTAGCCTCATAAAACATCAGTCAGTCTCACCCATCCCCTTTGCCCAATATCAGTCGATCTCACTCGTGATCTGATATGTACTAGTTAATAAGTTGTTCAAAAATAATCAATTACCTGCACGAAAAAGTTTTAATGCACTTAGCTACACACTCTGCAGACTTATTACTTATGGGCATTGCAAAGGCTTCTGGCTTGAATTCAGTTGTGTCTGATTTCCACTCGAAATTAAGGCCCTTTGATCCTTATACCTTGTAGTAGTTTAGGGCTAATGCTTCTTGCGAGCAGAACCTAATTTGAACTGGCTTGCATTAAGTTCAGCTCATGATGAGCATCTAAACCGGCCTGAAATGTTACGCCACATCACGTCATCATGCAAACGCCTCTCACGACGACAATCGCATTCGTATATCCTACTTAAAACTTTAATATTTCATTGCCGATGTGATCATCCTAGCTACGGCCTTGTTTTTCTGGAAATGTGAGGCAGAAACAATGTACTCCCAGCCAAAGAAAGGTATACAAATATGCTGAAGAAAATGTAATGTTCATCAGGACTTTTCCTGGTGTAGCGTTGATTGATTTCTGATTAATTATTGATTATGAATTATTTAATATTATCATGCTAAATTGCTAAATCGAGTAACAGTAATGGTTATGGTGCTTGTGAATAGTGTATAAATCTATACCATGAATCTAAACGTATATTTTTGCACCCTTTCAAAATATTTATATATGTTTAAAAACATCGGTCACATATTGATCTGGAGGTATGCGATAGTTATTGTATAATTACATAAATCTGTTATCTGTGCATGCATGTGTTTCGTTTAAAAATTTAAAAATTTAGTTAAAAAATACCTTTTGCATGAAATCAATGCGATTTTGCTCTAAGAACGCATATAAAACATCAGGGGTCGGTTGTATCAAGCCTGTTTAGTATAGAAAACAAGTCTATCGTTTTATTCAACAAGCAAACTAACCTTAATACAAAGATACTGTTTACAACTATATATATTCAATGTTGGATATCTTGTCACGTTGCCTTTGCTTGCATGCTAAACCCAACATTGCCAAGGGGATGGGGGGAGAATATCCCATGAAACAAGTAAGTTAATCGGAATGAAATGAAAATTATACTTCACCAACAGTGTTATTAACAGGTTTTGTCCATGATTGTATGGTGTTATTTAAATTTTACTTATCTTAAGCTAAACGGGCGTGATATACAACCGGTCCCTGCTGCTAACGTAACAACTAGCACCAGCAAAAAATTCCTCCAGCCCATCTAACCGTTTAGCAAACTTCTTATTCTTTATCAAATGCCTCTGATTACTGGGGCCGGTCGTACGAAAGCTGGATAGATCACGATCCACCGGATGATGTTTTTCAAACGCTCAAAAATTGGCTATTGTTTGGTATAACGTGGGTTAACCTTAGTATTCCAAAATTGAGGATTCGCTTTAATAATTGTTCACTGAAAATCTGTAGTTTCACTGCTTTTCGGACATTTTTATAACGCTTGAAAAAGTCACTCCTTCATTTATAACGCTACCCAGCCTTCATACAACAAGGCCCCGATCTATTTACATGGATCTCATGCATCTGAGGTCGGTTGTAGGAAAGTTGAATAGCGTTATCCAACGGATAGTGTTTTTCAATCGCTCTAAACTGCCCGTTGTTCAGTATAACCTGGATTTAACCTCAGCATTTTCAACTTGGGAGTTCTCCTCTTTCATAACTATTAGCTCAAATCTGTAAATGCATTGCTCTTTGAGAAAGCTATATGGCATGTGCAATCTCGTAACGAAATTCCTAATATAAAGAAGAAAGTCTTTTGTGACTTTATAAACAGAAGATTCCTTCGTTATTTTAGTCGCCTTCTAAATGGTTTGCAATCGCATATAGAGAAGCAATATCTCACACGCGTTCGTGTGATATTTTATATTCAAGAACATCACAGAATTTTTATGATTTTGAAGGTAAGCGGGTGTGGTATAAGCTGCCTTTATCAGATTTGTTACAAGATGTGTTATTTTTACGTGTGTATGTCATATCGACAGCAAATTCTGAACTGTGTTGATCCTTTACTATCGTTTTAATGCACCATATGTATATATTTTGTTTTTGTTTATGTTCACATTTAGTCGAGTTTCGACGCCTGGGTTTGCTGACATTGGATTGTTGGAGAGAATATTGTAAGCGTTCGTTATCAAGAAATTATTTTCAACCATCTACTTTCAATAGTTTAATGATTTACTTTCCATGCATATAAGATAATAGAACTAAACAATGATAAACAGATTTTGCTCTTGCCTTCTTGGGGAATTCGGGGGGCTGGCTGCACAATTAACCGAAAATATTTAGATTTCCGACTCTCTGAAATTCCTTTATATGCGTTTTTGACCGTTGACAATAGTTAACTAGGAAGCTTAATCAAGTTTTACTCTTTTTAGTGCAAAGTTTCTGTGAAACTTTGCAGTATTGTGGTGAGTGGCGAAAATTCACATCAGACAGTCAGACAGTCAATCAGTCATAGTGTAAACTCCGGGGGGCGGAGTGTTTTTATGCGTATAGTACATTACCAGAAATTTGGGACAAGATGGCGTCTTGCATTCGGATAAAAACAAACATGGCGGCCAAATTTCATGCGAAACAATATGGCTTAATCACAAAACTTTAAATTACGCTTCCTATGTGTGTTTTTTCTTGGTTCGGAGTTCGAATTCTGTAAATCGCTCAGAAAGGAAGAGTTATAACAAAAAATATTCACTCACTTGCAAATCCTCGAGGTTCCTGAGTGCGATTTATATACAAGTCCAATTTGAATGATTCGGCTATATAAAGCATAGTAATATCGGTAAACATGCTCTACAATCTGGTCAAATACACCACTTTCCTTTTGGACGATGCAAAGTTCGGAGTTGGAAATGTCTTTAGTTGTGATATAGCTACCGATAAACTCATAAATATCTTCGTATTTTTTACCGCCACGGTTCCCACAGCGTTTGAAATTTCATAATTCTTCAGTGTGTTAAGCATCCGGCCATATACATTTGAAGAAAGAAAGAAATTTTCTCCGCCATGTAAAGAAAGGCTTCTAAACTTTCGAGCAGCCATGTTTTTTTCTAAACTTAATTTAAATCTAGTTCACAGTTTAAAAGCGAAAAAGAGCCCAAAAATTGCGTAATATTGCGCTCTGGAGAGTCATAAATGGCCATGAACAAGTGGCGCCTTGGCGCGCGCAAATTCAAAAATCAAATATGTCTGACATTCTGGAAAGTTACAAGAAGCTTCATATCGACTGGAAGCTGAAGTTAAGTACTGAAGGGCCTTTAACGTATGTAAATCGGCAAGTTGATTCAAGGAGGCAGATTTTATTTACTCTAGATATTCCATGGGGGTTGCTCCAATTTTGGAACTCGCTTCTAAACGTCACTTCCGTAGATATTCGATATGTAAATTATATTGATTTCCTCAATGCAAGTGTTGTGGACGGATGGTTTACTATTAAACGCGACTGCGAACGTATAGAAAAGTTGCTTCGGAAACAAGCTAGCTATGTCAAAACTACTATTCAAAAGGCCAAAGGAAGGAAGAAGAAAGAGTTGGAACACAATGTTTACAGAATCAGTGTTCAAAGAGGAGAGATTGAGTCAGCAGAAGAGTACAAATTACAGGCAAGCCAATGCAGTCAAGAATTTGAACAGTACAAGAAGAACTACCCTGATTTAGAAAATGCGAAGAAGCAACTATATGAAGAAATTATTGAGGAAGTCAATAATTTGAAGGAGGAAGTTGCTGAACTTAAAAATGAAAACAGCGAATTTGCTGATTACATCGAAACACTTGAAAGGAGAGACACGTTAAATTGTCAAGGGAGAACATTTCAAGAGGTAGGAAAAAAACAAAAAGTGAGAAAACTTCGGCTGCTTAAAAACAAAGCACAATGTGCACTTTGGTTTCTAAAAAGCTTCGGTCTAGAGCTTTCAAATATTACACTCCAAGATAAAGAGGGTACTTCTCACACCCTAGACTATGATGCATCCAGTGGTGTACCAGGTATGAGCCAAGATAACGAGGACAATATTGAAAAATTTTTTTTATTGGACAAATTTTGTATAGCTGATGAAGCTTACCATGAACTATCCATGATTACAGATGGTCTACCAAAATCTTACATTATCAAAAAGTCAAGATCAGACTTAAACAAGACATACTCTATAGAAAGAACACAAGGAAAGTATTTAGGTGCAAACTTAATTTTACATCTACCCTAATGGACCATGTAAAAGATCTACTAGTCATAAAACCAGAGTTAGAGAGAGAAACAATCCAAATAAAGTTAAGTGGCGATGGTGCCCGAATGTCCAGAACTACGAATTTCATGATGTTCTCATTTGCACTCCTACAACTTGAAGAAAATGTCATGTCATCAAAGAATAATAGAACGGTTGCAATAATTAATGGACCTGAAGACTATGAGACATTGAAGGACTCACTACCTAATTTTTTCAAAAAATTAATGAACTTATTCATCAAGGATTTATATTAATTGATGGTAAAGAAATCAAATTGGAGTTCTTTCTTGGTGGTGATCTTAAATTCTTGTTAATGATAATGGGCTTAAACTCTGCTTCATCAAATTATGCCTGTTTATGGTGTAAGGTGCACAAACAAAACAGATGGGACACAAGCAAGCCCTTGAACTTTTACAATGAGGGGGAACAAAGGAGAAATTTGGCTGAACTCAAAGAGATGTGGCAAACTAGTGGAGAAAATTTTGGGTGTATCCGTCCCCCCCTGATTGATATAGAGCTAGACCATGTAGTGCCAGATGAGTTACACCTATTGTTAAGGGTGACAGACCGGTTGCTTCAAAACATAATTGATGAAATAATTGAACGGGATGTGATTGCAGATTTTAACAAGCCAAATACTCAACCCAAAGGGACACTGTTAAAAAAATTTGTAGACAATATAAATGAATTAGGTGTACCATTTTTCAGTTTGGTTTAAGAAAAATGCAGATGGATCAAGAAGTAAAATCGAAGACCACACCAGCTTAGTGGGGGCCAAAAGAAAACCTTGCTAAACAAACTCCCTGATATATTGCATCATTATCTCCCTGAGACATGTGAAATTGTAACTCAAATATGGAGAGATTTCAAAGTTACTATGATTTGATCACAAATTTTGAATTGACATGTGATTCATCCAGCATCAATATTAACAAAGCAATAAAATGGATTGAACTGTTTTGTTCTTTAAGAAATACTAGATCTGGCTATACAAGGGATAGAGTCACACCTTACATGCACATGATGTGTTATCACATTCCAATTTTCATTCAACAATATGGTTGCATTAAGAAGTTTACGGGTCAAGCTGTTGAAAAAAACAACGACGACGCCAAAAGAATTATGTTCCAAAAATCTAATAAATGGGATGCTGCCAAGGATATCCTCCAAACAGAGAGCAGGCAGTGGGACTTAAAGCAACATGTACGTGTGAAAGGTCCTTATATTAAAAGAAAGGCTGAATACTGGGGAGGAGATATCTGCAGAGTAAGGAAAGACAGAAGACGTCTTTCTCAACCTGCTACACCCCAAGTAGATGATCACGACATATGCATTCCCCCCCAATCCCAATCACAAATTCGGTGGATTATGGAAAGTTAACGATCATGCAGTTACGCAACATTGTCAAAGAAAAAGGCCTCAACAGACGGCTGTCAAAGTTTAAAAAGCATCAGCTAATAAATTTAATTGAAACATCCTAAATGCTTCAAGAGTTTAACTGTCTTGTTTCATGGGAACAAGCAGATGTATAGATGCTACTGGTATTATTCCAGTAGGTGAATTTTGCTTGTGAAAACTACAAATTTTAATTCCTTAAGCTTTCAATCTGTGAATATGGATCATTGCCAGAGGAAATTTGCATATTTTGGTTATGAAATAATTAGTGGTTGTTACACCAAAAAACATTACAATTGAGAGATGAAACCATTGGACTGACAAGTGAGGTATTAATGACATATGAATATCTACAAATATCATGTATACAAGTGTTGCAATTTGCTTTAATATACTTTTTCCACACCAATGATGTCACTTATTATGCATAAAGATATCAAATATAAAAAAAAACTCAATTATTCTCTTTTATAAAGAGTCTGCTTTGTTAAAGTAGTTCGCAGTGTGCTGTATTATCCACAAACTATGTCACCAAGCAGATTGACTTTACATAGGTTTATGTATATATAGGTTCACTTCATGTATTTTTAATCCAACATTACCTTTATGAAGCAACTTTAATAAAGTTAATTGAAATTTTTTTCAGTGTAAGCACGGGAGCTTCAACAATGCTTTCTCCTTCTTTCACAAAACATTTTGCTGATCTACCAAGAAATTTCCGCATCTTCACCGGAAATAGCATCTTTACACCATCCCCATGTTGTCATAGCGGCAATTCCAATTATTGGGTAGGCCACAATTACAAAATCCTGTTCCTCAAACAATGTCCAGCTCTTGTTCAGCAGCCTTTCCTTTCCCACCAAACAAGTAATTATAAACATCATGTCGAAACTCCACAGTCAACTTTTGTTCTGGCCATCTGTGTTTGAGGGAAGCAACAACTTCCTTTGCTTAAACCGGTCCACACATTCTATGACATCATTAGTGTGTGGTTTAGGGTTCTCAAAGTACCTGGAGTATTAAAATATGCATTTTAATATAAAAATAAAACTCCTGAAGAAATAAAATTGCAGTATGTGCCCCCTAAATTGCCCAGTACTGCGCAAAGGGAAGACATAAGCCTTGAATTCTATTTTTCTATTAAAACTTATGAACACTGCAACTGTGGCTGGCAGTTTACAAACACTGAACTCATGCATGTGCTGTACATATCTTTATCACACTTCATCCTAATTATGGCACAACTACAGTACTTTTTCATGTCCAACCTTTGTTTCAAAATTCAAAGGGTTAATTATTTTAAAACTTGATATAGTATCCCAATTTGTCAGTTTGACATTACACTGATGAATAAAATTTACCTTAAGGATCTCTTGAAATGTGATGTGTCCGGTTCCCAAGTACTTTCAAAACGAACTGTAATCCTTCCATTTAACTAGGTACTTGACTTCCTATAAGCGTACGTTTGATAGATGGTCTTTATTAGATATTAAAATACATAGAACATCAAAAGTCGATATACTACGTCTACAAAGATGTTTACCTTGTTAACCTTTCTGCGCAATCACCGCTCAGCCTC